TCTGATTTTCCGGGATCTCCCGCACAGATATAATGATTTGAATCACCCGACGAGTGCCCTTGCGCCTAATGTCCCGGAAATATTGAAATTATTTTATTGTGAACACTACACTATTATATAATTGCATATTATGTTGTATTAAAAAAAGAAACAGCAAGACCGTTGGAATATAGGTACAAATATAAATGTGGAAAATGTTTAAAATTGTTTTCCTATTACTAATACAACATAAAATTTTGTACTATCCCAGTTTTTATTTGATAATATCGGAACAATATACTGACATTCTTTAAATATTTCTACATTTGTGACTTTTCTATAATTTATTAATTATTACCTATCCTGTGCCTGTGTTTTATCCAAATTTCATTTCCACCTTTATGATCTAAATGCGACATAACATTATGCTCAAGTTCTCGGACAGGTTTTTTATCGTTTTATTGTTGTGGTAATAACAGGCAGAGGAATGTAATATCATTTGTCATCAGCCTGCCTGTCTAATTATTTGAAAAATGAATTTTCTGTTTTTTTTTTTGACGGAGGTTAATATATTTATACTGTGGTTAAGCGTTGTAAAAATACATCAAGATATTATACGATTATAAAATTAAAATAACAAATGCAAAAATATGACTTAATTTGTTGTTGAATAATACCTAGATACTTATAGTATTTTACACGTATGACAGAAAATAAATGGCGTAGTTTTATAATGAATAAGTTTATTTATATTTTATGTAAATCTGATAATAGCCAGTTGAGCAGCAGACTAGGTACTACATTTTTCAGACTTAGATAAGGAGTATGTTTCTTGATTAGAATCAAGTATACATATTTTAATTGTATTATATCACCTTACCTATTTCATGTAGGTATCTGGCTTACTAAACCGCGCAATATTATATTGTTTTGTAAATAAAATCAAGTTTTAGCTCCTTTCCTACTTGAAGATGAGAAACAAAGTACATACCAAATTTCATTGTTTGTGTATGCACATGTTATTATTAAAACGTAGTAAGTAGTTATAATATACTTTATTATCACATCAAGTTGCCCAGGGAAGTTCTGTAAAGTTTTCAAACTCATTATTGTTTGAAACACGTTTCATATTATGTTATAGTATTACAAATAACAGTCCATAAAGATTTTTTAAAAAGAAAATCGTAGTGTGAGAGCTGCACCGTAATCGGGCGTCAGGTGTTCGAGAGCGAAAATCCATTTTTATCTTTAAGTGTTAACCTTACCTCGCCTCCTTGCTCCTTACACAATTTACAGATTTACTGGAATCACGAATAGAGCATTTAAAGTGAGATTTGACTATGAATTGATGGATCTAGAGGGCCATAAAAAAGTGTGTAAAGTCCGTTCTTGTAACTGTTATACTGTTGCTCCCTCAGACAATGAAATCATGGCAACCGAAGTCACGAGAAAACAGAAAAAAAAAACTTCAAAAGAGTCATTAAATACTGTTTACTTCTGAACGAGATTGTATAGTGAATCAAACTAAATGAGGCACATTGGTTTCATATTCATTTTTCGACTAAAGAGCCAAATTACATCCGGTTTAATATGAATAACATAGCTACATAGCGACGGAAACACCGCCAAATATTTAGGCAGGACACAAAAAAAAAGTAAAAAATTAGATAGGTATTCAGGCAAATTGTTTCAAAACCCTCTTAGAAATGAGGGAAGGCTTATATATAGGCTGTAACATTAACGTAACCTATACTCTGATGTAATAATAAAGTACAGCCATGCTGCAGCTATATTACTAGTATAGTTGTAGCACGAATGGGTCGGCTCGACCGGTGAAGAACCACGCTCTCACAGAATACCAGCGTAAAATAGTAGCATAACGCTGCTGTGTTTCGTATGGTGAGTGTAGAGAACTTTTACTGGAAACTAGAGACTCTTTTTTACTGGAAACGAGGCATTCCATCTTAGTCCTCACAGGTGACAATGCATCTGCATTTTGATTCGCAATCGAGGATAGATGTAGATGTCTATGGACCTCGGCAACCACTTAACGTCAGATGGACTGTGTGCTAGTTTGTCACCCTAATTCTATAAAAAAAAAAAACAATTAAGACACATGTACAGAAAATAGATTTGTTGTTGAAACAGAACAGATTGACATCATAAAATGTGGCTAGAAAATTGTAAATAATTAGTTTTTTTTTTTAAATTGGCAGACTTAAAGTGAGCTTTCTAGTTGAAAACATTAATATTTTATCTTCAAGAACATTTCTACAAGAAATCAAAATCAATCAAAACAAAGGAAGAAAGAATCATAGAAATCCGTTGTGTAGTTTCTGAAAAATCGCGCACGTAACAAACATGGACGTATAAAAAACGACCATTTTTATACGTCCATGCAAACAAAGAACCTGCCTTATTTGAAATTGGAAAAAAAATGTCAATAAAGAGTCAAATATATAATATACTCTGTGGAGTCAAACTTGCTAGCAGTTTATACAATACATATTACGCCGTTTTCTCTAAATTCTGATTGAAACAATAAAAGCGGTAAAATGAACTTATGCCGAAATGGCAATTTATTTAGGTCTCTTATAACTCAATACTGTCAAACGCAAAACCGCATTTTGTCACGTTTATTCAGTTCTTTGTAACCCGTTAGGCGTTCGTAGCTACTAGATATGCAATGTGAATTGCGTGGGGAATCTTCCTAAATCACAATTGTTGTACGGAGTCGTCAGAACAGGCAAAGCCAAATAACTGTTTTTGAAGTCTAAATGTTTTGGGCTCATACTGTATGTCAGACTTTTCTCATACTATGTATTTATCTTATCTGTGTGTTCTTTCGTTTCCATGCGCCTTGTAAATTTATTCTGAATCCTATGGACAGCTTTAATATAACTATGATATTGGGAGTATCATTGACATGCAACTGATGCATACTCAAGGTTTGCACTGAAACATTTTTCGATAATGGGAACATGCATTTGGACAGAACGATGGATAATTTCCTGTTCCAAAACCCTCTTAGGAATGAGAGGAGTGCCTAGCAGTGGAACGTACGTATAGGATGTTACTAATTTTTACTTTATTATGAGTAATTTGATTATGAAGATGACAACAGAAAAAACCCATCAAGAAATACAATTGTAAAGTAGCCAAATATATTGTACTAGTACCAATATTTCCCCATTTCGTGGGGATTGATTCACCGGTGTATAACAACGTTATCGTATATTTACGACTTCATTTAAAACCGCTAACATTTCTCTACAAAATATAAAAAAAGCTGCCAAGAAATTCTTGACCGTGAAAACTGCATCAAAATCCACTTAGCTACTATTATGGGAGCCCTAAATTTGAATTCCATGAGTTGCGCGAAAAAAATAACGAATTAATTTTTCGTTCTCTTCATGCGCAGATTGTCCTCGTATGACTTCAGCCCAGACTATCTCAGCCATCCGGACCTGATCCATTCAGGCATAGATAGGTCAGGACGGTTAGTGTTCCTGAATTTTTCCAAAGATGCTTAAAAAACTGTAGTTAACACTACAGGGTTATTTTTCAATAATTTGCAGAGAAGGTGCAGAATAACTAATATAGGTAAATGGTTAAAATGTAATTAAAAAAAATCTCAAACATTCTGTCCTTTTTATCTTATAAATTCAAAATGCGCGGTACTACATTATTTTAACTGATTGTCATTCATAAATATCTAACGCCTACCATTTTACTACTCACGCACACATTATTAGTAGGCAAAAACGTTGTTGTCCATAAATCACATTCAATTTGGGCTAATTTCAAATAAAAGTAGAAGCCTTGTTTACTCGTATTTTCAAAAACTGCAATAACGGTGTATCATTTTAAAATTTGGCTACTCTTTGAAATTTAACCCTATGTATAGGGGGAGTTTTTGAACAACGTTACTCTAATGCGTTCATATTAGAGTTCATCATAACCTAGAAATTAATTTTTCATTTCAGATTTTAGAATATTTAGATATGGTTTCTTCTGTCAGCGCGTAATAGTCCACTGCTGAACTGACACGGCTGTCTCTCATTCCAGAAAGAATATGCCTTAATCTCCACGTTCGGCAAGTATCTTTGAAGCTGTTTCCCGTTTACTTTTTGTTTATTTTACATATGGAATATGCAGAAGTTTTTCTGGCCTTTTCTATAATCGCTTTTTACGGTTACTACACGGTTATTCACGTAGATATTTCAGGTGAAGTGGGTAAAGTAGTAAGTTACACCTAATAGACGTACCAGTGCTGGACACATTTTTGAGGTTTTATTGCAAGTAATTGTCCGCCGTGCTAGCCCATGTATTATTTCTATATAATTTCAGATTCGCGGATACAGAGAGTTTATAATTCCAGTAATAACAGATATTATGTAATTAAAAAGCATTTAATTTCAGTGTTGTCGACGGGAATCGAAGTCGGTTTTTTTTGCATATTATGTCGAGCGGCCGGCTCTTGAGTTTCCTCAGTGATTATATCAAATATACTATTAAATCTAATTTACTATGTAGGTCTTGTTCTTCAGCATGATCCAGTCTTACTCGATCATGCTGAAGAACGGACGAATAATCAGTCTGGTTCTAAAGTAACAACTTTTCTTTTTTTAGCTCTAGTTTGAAGAGCACCTCCCGCCCTCCCTCAATTGCGTGCACTATCCCCGTCACCACCAATACCAGCACCACTACACTAGGAAAGACGCCACCGACGATAATACGTCACGTGTTTCGCCTCTACACGAAGCATCCTCAGATATAGTAGACTCTGCGGTGGCTGACCGCTAATCTAGGCGGTAAGACACATCATTTTATTTTATTGATCGGATATAGGCAAAGTAAATTTTTCCAACTTTAATATAATGGATACACTTGACTCTATTATTTCCTTTTTTAGTTTATACGAACTAGTTAAAGGTAACTTTTCTTATCTTATAAAGAAATGACTTCATCCTCTCAATCACAACATTTTCCATAAAATAGATACCGCTGCATGTACTCACCAGGAACATCCTGTATCCTAGTGTTAGGGCTGCCTTTATTCGCGAAGATGTAGGCAGTCTTAGTTCCGAAGAGCAGATACGGGTCTTCTTCACCCGAGAGGCATATTTCTTGACTTCTTGCGAATGCCAGAAATGACAGAAAAGCTACTAGTATCCAATCCATTCTCACTGTTAAATAATATTATTAGAATTAAAAACAGACGTATAAAATTTTTATGGGGTTAGTTTTATTTTACTTGAAAATGTTTGTAGAATAACGAAAAAATAGTCACAAACATAAACGTGGGATAGGTAATAATATTAATAATAATAAAGTCTTCCTTGCGTCTCACAAAATAAAAAGTAGTGGGTACTCTGTTAAAATTCTAAATTAACCGTAATAAAAATGTTGGTTTATGGAAAACATTTGTAACTATTTCCAGGTAAATTTTAACTACAAAAATATTGTATTATATTTTAAAAAAATTTTAGTCTGGTAATTTAAAAGTTATATATATATATTATATAAACATCCTTCTAGTACGCACATTTAACAGGCAAGTTTTAACGTTATGCTAACAAATAACGTAGTCCGGTAAAAACAATGACACAAAAAGTGGCACAAGAGAGGAGTTCAAAACCAGAGTGAACTCAATAAAGTTTAATAACTAAACACATTCAACAAAGCACTATTTACATTTGTTATCAATGTACCTTTACGCGGGAAGTTACGGGTTACGGACCGGGATAGTATTCGAGAAAGTTATCTGTGGTCGAACGATGCGCGAGAAACACGGCGTCTTTATGGCAGACGTGCTGACGACTGGGCGTACTGGCACTGGCATAGTTTACAGGTTACAAATACAAACCGGCTAGCCTATGGAAAAATAAGGCGCCGCGTCGTAGCGTTGCAAACAAAACATTGTCGACATAGCATCACACAATATTAAGTTAAACTTTTGTAGGGTATCCTTCTCTCAGACTTTAAACTTGAAATAGATACTTTTATTTAACTCTACAATCTGTCTTAGGTTAAAAATTAATAAGTAATGTCTGTACTACAGACGGCCCACCATTTCATAGGCATGGTGGAAGGAACAGAGACGGCTTCCTCTAACAATCTGATGCCTCCTCTAATCTTATTTCTTTACATCTGCAATCTACATCTATCCTCTCACCCCACCCCTGAGGACAAAGATGGAATGCCTCGTTTCCAGTAAATAACCGGCCAAGTGCGAGTCGGACACGCGCGTGATAGGTTCCGTACCATCGTAAAACACGTTTCTATTAGGGGAGCCCCTTTAATTTTTAATTAATTTTTATTTTTATTATTTGTTGTTACAGCGGCAACAGAAATACACATTCTGTGATCATTTCAACTGTCTAACTATAACATATCACGAGATACAGCCGCTGACAGACGGACGTACAGCGGAGGCTTAGAAATAGCAATTTCCAGTTCTCTGCTCTCACCATAAGAACCACAGCAGTATTAAGCTGCTATTTTACAATGGTATGTTGTTTGGTTGTAGCACAATTGGTCGAGCCGACCCATTTGTGCTTCAACCATAATATAGCTGCAGTGTGGCTCTATCACCTATTAAATAATACTTCGTATTTTCAAACAAAAAAAAACTCCAATTTGGAAATAATTCCAACGCTAGCGAATTGGCCAAGGTTTGTGCCTCCTTGGGCCCAGCCCGGAGCAAAATATTGATTACGCCCAGCATAATAAGTGTGAAAAAGATTCTCAGAGGCATAAAGTAGAGAAGATACAGGCGATCTAATACACGGAAAGTATGTATTTGCTTAACCTGTTACAAGGACTGTGGTTCACCTCAAAATTTAATTAACGGCTTGTGAAATGCCGGCAACGGTAACAGAAGTCGTGTTGCTTGAGTCATATTATCAAAATTTATTATATAAATATCACCTTAATTACATATCTGCGTTTTAAAAGTTGTGGCCGTTATGTATCTTTATATATAAAATTCAGTTGCTGTCCGTTTGGAATGGCAGATTCCGAGGAAACAAGCACTTTCCAAACATTAAAGTAATACCTATGTACTACGCACCAGAACATACTTAACACCGTATTAATAAACGTTACTCAGCTCAAGTACACGCACTTGAGTACACTATTGAGATTATGATCTTATTAATAAACATTTCTCAAGAAGCGGTTTAGGTTTACGATATCAGCTGAGTGCCACACTGATTAATAAACGAAACTCGACTCTCAAGTGTGTGTCACTTGAGTGCAAGTCACAGAACAGTATTCCTAAGTACAGCATTTTGAGATACTGTTTTTATGTGTTTATTAATGAGCAACGATCTTGAGATGCTGATATCGTAATGAGAGAAATGATTACGCACTTGAATGAGTTCGTGGTTGAGTAACGTTTATTAATACGGGCCTAAGACTTGTTTGTTTGCAACATACATACGAAGATACATTATACTTCAACGTTTCCAAATGTATAAAAAAATAAGTAGAAATTCCATTTTCAAATTTAATAATAAACATTCAGCCTTGACCACCCAACATTTGAACATACATGGCATGGGCATATTTTTTAAGTGTGTTGCTCATATTAGTAGCGATTATGAATTTATGTAATATGTTAGTCATTATTTTATAGATATCAATGAAGATTATATAAGGTCAAAAATTTCAAACAATTATAAAGAATAAGTAATGTGTACATTTTTCGTATTATATTATGTACTATTTCAATTGATAGGCATGGGTAGTGTTTCTATGACAATGAATAAAATTTCCTACGCTACTTCTACGCACAACAGGTTTGTACATCCGGCCGGCTTGACTCATGACCTTCGTCATGTAAAGCTATAACACACTCATGTTTATTGTAGTCAAACACAATGCCCACTTATAGTATGTGAATGCACGCTTATGTTATATCTTCTTCATAAACGTAGCCTAGAAGGCAGGCTACCCCGCACTGCTCCTGGGTTCGAATCCCAATTACGGATTAGAACCTACACAACCAATGACGAAAACCTTATATGTATTAATATAATTGCCCCTAGACTTGACTCTTAACATAGCATGGATAGGTCCAAGCCAAAGACCATTTATTTTATCTATTTTTCATTTATTAAAAAAAAACATACAAATTTTTGGATAAAATATAGCTTAGATCACTGGCATTGCTCTGTCTGTTCGTGAAGTTTCATTTACATCGGTTCTAAATCGATTCCGAAGATTAGCCCGGACAGACAGACAGACAGAAAGACAAAATTTTTCAAAATGTTTAATTATATCTTAGTAGCATACGAGTAACCCTCTCAACTCAATTATAAGGCAGTTATTTCAATATTACAGACAGACGTTTCAATTTTATTTATAAAGTAGCAGATCCCCGCGACTTCGCTCGCGTGTAATTTGGGGTTTTCATTATGTTGCTCAGAACCCTAATTCTTTTTCTCAAATAATCAGCTATCTGCCAGTGAAAGTCCCGTTGAAATCGGTTGAGCCGTTTCAAACAGAACCGGAACAAACAGATGGACAGACAGACAGACAGACAAAAACTTTAAAAATTGTGTTTTTGTAATATGTTCCGTACATACTATCATATGCATTTAGTAAAAAACTGTTATTTTAACATTACAAACAGACACTTCAATTTTATTAAGTGGCGAAGCTTGCGAAGTCACTTATTGATTTCACGATGTCTCTCCGTCTGTCCGTCTGTCCGTCTGTCCGTCTGTCCGTCTGTTCGTCTGTCCGTCTGTCCGTCTGTCCCACGATTATCTCGAGAAACGTTTTGAATTTTCAAATTCTGTTTTCAGCAATCGATTACTGATCACCCAGGCATCTGAACCTCCTATTTTGAAACTGATTGCTCAACGGCAACCGTTAGAAACCGCTACAAAGCTGATTGCTTCGCCACTTTGCTATGCTGTTAGCTTGCTAGGTTTATTTATTTGTATAGATGTATAGATCAGTATCAGGTAATTAGTCCTAATAAGTGTTTCAGAGGACGCGACGCAAGCAAACCGAATTTAATTCGCAGCACGAATTTAATTTGCAATTTTATGTACTGGTTTACCATGTGCTCGGTGGTCGGCGGTGAAGGAAAATATCATGAGGAAACCTGCATGACTGAGAAATATATTTTGAGGGTATGTAAAGTTCGCCAACACGAACTGGAGATCTGGAGACATGACAGAAACCTGTACGTCGGTACTCGTAATTCTACGAGTCTCACTGTCGTTACTGTGCCTGTTGGAGTATTCTACTAGTATAGACAAGGAAGGTTGTGTTGCATACTCTGGTATTATCATGTAAATTGGGTTATTCACGTTACACTGGCGTGTGCTTGTGACGGGAATACGTTAAAACGAATGGGATTGACGTATCTCAACGTAAAATCTGCGAAACGCAATGTATGTGCCCATAGGCATTAGTCCGCTGGATTGCTACAAAACGCGTTGGTGAACTTTAAATGTCTGCGCAAAATGTTATTCCTCAGATATGAGCAATTAAAATTGCGACCAATAATTCCCAAGCTGTGAGGCATATATCGGTGTCCTAAAATTCAACGTAAAGCTACGTAGACGTAGTACTATTATTAATTCTGTGGTGTTATTTAGTCACCAGGGAGTAACTTACTAACGGTGTAACTATCTATCTCACTCACACATCAAAAATCTATTGACGACGCTTGTCCACCTGAATCTGTAATTCAAACCTGTTTTGGGGCACACAATAACGTTTTCAAGGATAATAATTAATAATTGTGTTCATTTCTTGTTCAGAAATAATATGAATATTTTTGTGCAGTGTCACTATAGTATCTACTTTTAAAAACATCTTAGAGAGTATCTTGATTAGTTGTGCTAACTTTAATAATAACTTGCCATAGTAGTGTTGATTTTTTTTACACAGTAAAGAGTGAAATATGATTATAAATTAGTGGGCCTGACGGAATCCCGCCATTTGTGCTAAGACGTGCGCTCCAGGGTTGGCACCGGTTCAAGGCGTCTTTATCGGTACTACTACTCCCTAGGCGTTGTCCCGAATTCATGGAAGACAGCTATCGTGCACCCAATCCCTAAAAAAGGTAACCGCTCTGATCCGTCCAATTACAGGCCTATCGCCATCACCTCTTTGTTCTCGAAAATAATGGACTCCATTATTAACTGCCAGCTCATGCG